TTTTTATCGCAAATAAATAAAAAGGGGGGGGGGGGGAAACAGTCAATATCATGTTTCTCACCCAAGACTGATAGACTTAGCTGAGTGTAATGAACAAAACCCATCCCAACCTGGGAAAATCCACTCACATGGTGAGAAAAGGAGACAGGAAGGGCAGAAAACATGTAGGTAGATCTTGCACTACTAGACAAACAGAAGTCATTCATTGCCACCTATCAGATCATCTTTGATTCCAAATACTGGACCTGATTCTGACCTATTGGACTCACTCTACCAACAGTTATATTATTATTATTATGTTTTTGCACAGAACTGGCATAACAAGGAAATCGGGCACATTATGGCAACGCCCACTGGTGTCACAGCATATCCTTCAGCAGATGTGTCTTGCAGGGGTTACATGGCATTCTTGAAAGGCTGCAGCCCAATCAGGAAAAATCCTTCCATGATCTCTTAAGGCTGCCACTGGACTAGTCCAATCCATGCTATATGAGAGATGCAAACAGCAGGGCAAGATGGCATTTATCTTACTAAATGGTCAACATCTGCATCTGAACTAGCCTCTCTTTTTTAAATTAATTAATACCTTTTATAGTACAGAAACCACCCTTTTTCAAACTTCTCTGTATAACCCCATTGCCAAACTCATCACTTGGAAAAAAAATGGAAAATGCCCCTCCAAAATGTTTGTCACAGCACACAGAGAGAAACTGTTTGCAAACCCAGTCTGACCACCCGGAAGTCTGTCTCCTTGTCCTGCCTACTCACCAGAGCCATGGGATTTGTTTCACTTCTAGAAACCAGCTTTCTGTAGTTACTTTGAGTATCTTTTAACATCATGCCTCAAAGGGATGTAGAGGTAATGATAAAAGGTATTAATCCTAGATAATAGCTCTCTAGTTACCAACAGAGAAGAGGGAATTGGAAGCAGGACAGGTTTTATTTTCCCAGCTAACTGCTGCTGGAACCTCTTCAAAAATGCCCTTCCATGATACCCATATTGTCATGCCTTGAGATTTTGAGACTTACCAGTATAATCTAGCTTTGAATGCACCCATCAAATTAGCAATGTGACTTCTTTCTTTGGACATAAGAGCAAGCATGCTGAGTCAGATCAAAAGGTCCACCTACCCCCAGTATCCTGTCCCTGAGAATTGTCAACAGCAGATACCCCAGGAAAGGTGTAAGATCATGGCAAGCATACAGTGGTGGTTCCCAGAATTTACTCCCAGGACTCAAGGTTTGGCAGCTCAGGTCTTACTTATATCAGCATGACTAATACACTCCAAGAGATTTTGACACCCAAATATTTGAGACTTAAATGTAAATCATAGATTCATACTGCTAGTTGTCATTTGAGTTCTTGGTTGTGTTGCTTCTGGATATAGAAAGGATTCATACAACCATGTCCAAATGTGCTGCAGTGAGCCACCACCAATAGTAAATGGCATTTATAAGCAAGTACAATGCACCAGCTGAAGACATGCACACAATAGTTCTGCTGGATGTGCCCAAAGTGTCCAACTTGGCAGAAAAAAATCGCAATGTTACTTGATACATCAAATAGTGTTTCCTAAAAAAGGAAAAATTGGGCATTGGGTAAGTTTATTATTTCTGAGAGAATAACTAACACTACTAAAAAGCAGGGCACCCCCAGTATAATCTGGCATGTAGAGATGTCAAAGTTTTCCTGAGTTTCCTCAGTTTGTGGGAAGGAAGACAGGGGAACAGGGAGATAGGCAGCTGTTGAAGGTAAGAAAGGTACTTGTTGGTCTGGGCTCTTGGTTTAAAAGCTTCACTGTCCCTCACTAGCTAATGTTTGCAGACAAGCACACCTGGTTAGTGTTAACGAGCACCCATCCCAAGGAAAAAACCAAATTGTTTCAGGGTTTGGCTCTGTGTGTGTGGGTATGAATTTAGATGGCTTCCCCTAAAGCCATGCAGCAGAGATTGGTGTAATAGTCTCCATCCCATTTCCAATTCCCCAACCCGCAAGGTTCAACACAGATGAATAACTTGAACTATTCAGACATCTCATCTAAAAATATATTCTCTTCAAATCATATTGAGGAGAGAGATATTTATAGATATTTGGAGTTGTGTGTAAGCAAAAGCAGATGAAGCCTCAGGTTTTACCGAAGCCAGATTGCAAGCTTAGCTGAAGGAAAACAGATTGCATATGGACTATCTGCATTTTCTTAAACACAGAAAAAGAGGAGCTATGGAGCAGTAGTGACCAGCTTTTGTGAGATAGGCCAAGCACACAAAGCAAGAATTGTTGGAGCTGTTGTCAATCTGACAGACAAAACCCCTAAGTTTTATCCCATCATTCTTTACCAAATTTCCATCTGGAATAACATTATGTTATGTGCTTCAAAGAATATTTCAGATTTGAGATTTAATTGCAAATTCAAAGATCAACTAAAATTTCAGTGCTGGGACGACTGGACTTGTGGAATGTGTTCATCACACACTGCCCTGTTTCAAACACAGTTTGATTTTGGTTAGCTGCAGAACTCGTGGTCTGGTACCATGGCAGCACCCTAGGTTCCAGTAATTATCAGTACTTTAGGGAACTATTTCCACCATATTGACTTGTTTCATGGTGCGTGCTGCCATGATGAAAGCCACTAAATGGCCAAGAGCCATGTATTAGCCACACCCAGTGGTAGAGGTTCTGACCAAACTTTCCAAATACAATTCCCTGTGCACTCATGGTGAGGAATACTTTCTTCTGAAGCCACCAGAGACACTTGTGATGACATCTGAACAAACCTCTTCTGAGACAACTGCTCTTCCCAAAAGTGTTGCCAAGAATTTTGCTTAAGATGATGACTAAATTGAGAGGTAGCCAGTTTGAAGACATGTGGACAGTCTGGTATCTTTACTTCATCTAAACACAACATTTCAGTCTTTCACTGAACTTTCAGAGGTTTTCAGCAGTCTGAAATGAAGTAGGCTTTCCTCCAGTCTAACCCTTCTGCTCCTCAGCTGGCACAAATCCTTCTACCCAACCAAAGTGCCTGGTTCTACAGAAAGAAAGATTTTCTTTATCAGAAAGTCTGTGGCTAGTGAATACATCTGGAGACTTCAGTACTGTCCAAAGCAGATGGACCACAGATGGGAACAATGGGAGTGAGGGCTCCCTTAAAGGCCCTTTTGTTCTCCACTAGAGAGACTATTAGTTTGGTTAGGGAAGAGTTCATGTTCACATTCTACTTTGCTCCTGGTCTTTTTCCTCAGGATCATCAAAAAGGGGACTAGAGACACCAGCAGAAACCACAGTAAGGTTATAGCTAAGTGAAAGCACAGGAACTGCTTCCTATCGCAGAGCTAATACAACTAAAGGAATTTTTTGTACCACCTTCCCCACCCAGAAAGCAGAGGTGCAAGGACATATGAAAGAATAGCATGAGATGAGTCATGACCCCATAACAGCATGGTGCAGGAGTTCACCTTCCCACACACTGCAAGAGGATCAGGAACCAGACAACGATACTCACCTGCTTACAGGAGGAGGGGTTAGTTAGCAGGTCCTATGCAGGCAGCAGCCGCAAATAACGAAGAAGGAAACATGCCAAAAATTAGTCACAGAGAAAGATATCAAGTTTAACAAGGCAGCTGAATTTAGACACATACTGTTTTCTAAAAGAATAAAATGCTTAGCAAGTAATACTGGCCGAGATGGCTCAAAGGTATTTCAGCATTTCTTTGCATATTTTAAATCAGCAGATGCTGGGAATCTAAGAGTTCTAGGTCTTTTCTGAAAAGAATAAATTCAGTCTCCAAAGCATAAATCTCTCAGGTCTTGAAACATTAACTAGGATAATGCTTAAATGCCTTTATAAATCTCATCTGGAGCCTTACTGAAAGAACTGCCAAGGTTAAAACTTGAGGGTCAGTTCTCCTCTCCTGATGCACAGGCACAGTTTGCCATTATTAGTAACAACTTGTTTCAACAGAACATTATACCCTTTAACAACTTATAGCCAAGCATTTGGAAAGCACTCTGTAACCACCAAAGAAGCCTTACAGCACAACTGGGTAACAGCCACCAACTATTTCACAGAATATTCCATAGTCCAGGAAAACACCAGATATACTGAATCAAAAGGTCAATATTACACAGTAAGATTAGAGCAAGGTCAAAAGACTAGTGTAAGAATTTGTGGTCCAGCATTCTGTACACTGGACAATTCTGCTTTCCCCCATAGCCACCAAAAATGATACACTGGGCTTGAGAGAGGAGAAGAGACCCTTTGTCATTAAAAACTGAAGAAGAAAAGCTGTTTAATGTAAATGAAACTGGAAAAAATATGAAGATCATGTTAATAACAGCAAAGAAAGAAATGTCTTTATCTGTACTCATTCAACATTTCAGATGCACAAGAGCAGGGCTTTGCATTGACATTTTTCTTTACAGACATTTGGATGAAGTTTAAAAGTCACAAACCCAGGGTAAACACATACTTGGCCAGAGTGGAGTATTTCCAAAAAATAAAAGAGGAGAAAAGACTAAGTATGAATCAACTGGAAAAGTTCTCATAAGATTTTGATTCAAATGCAATTCTGGTTGCCTCATCTTTTAAAAAAAAAATAAAAAAAAGAAAAAGAAAATTGATGAGGACTTGTTGATTGAAATCCAGTTCACACTGGAGTAAGTATGGATGAAAAAGAAAGTATCAAATAAAATAGTAGCAATGGAATATTTAAGGGAAAAAAAACCAAAAAACCCTCAACGAAAGCTGGAAGGGCAGCAATACACCTAACCACACAAAAATATGAGTAGCTTACATAAGTGATAGTCTAGTATCTGGAGCCACTGTCATAAAGTGTGTTTAATGAGGATGGAAGAGAACTGTTCTGAGACCCAGGGAGGTCACTCTGAAATGATGGCTCCATTCCAGTGGGCAGGGGTAAGGGTCAGGTTAGTTTATGGTTGAATAGGCCAGGCTGCTTTTCAGTGGTTGGTAACACAGCCATAAATATTATGATTCTAACTAGGAGCTGGCAGAACAGGACAGCTTTAGCTTTTGATTTTGGGGCTAGAAGCAAAGCTTTGCAAGGTCATTTCTAGAGAGGAAGGGTGTTTGCACCCGAAACATTGGAATGGCACCTTGATGCCACAATGGCTATTCATATGCACAGATGACAGTCTGGCTACTTGCAAGACAACTGGGAACTCACCACCATACCTAACCTGTTGGCACAGGGTCTAAATCCAATCTTGTAACAGCACTGAAGTTTCCTGTGCCTTTCTTCCCCTCTATGAACTAAGTTCTTGTTTCAGGGAATGGGATTCACAGAAAGAGAGGAGGACCCACTGAAACAGCAACAGCTATTTGCAGGAGCAGAATAGGAAATGAAATCTCATCATGCAACAGGTAACATCACATTCTTCATAGTTCAGGTTGGGATGCTTATCTAGGTGGCTGCGAGCTAGTAAATCAGAAGAGTTATTCATTATGTTTATTGCATTAGACAGAAAAATGAGAGAGAGAAGGGAACAGATGGAAAAGTCCAAAGACAAGGGGGTTGTTTGTTAATTTTAAGGTACTGAATAAGTTAATCATAATGACAATGAAGTAATCATCATCACTGAAAGGCTTAATCATAAAGGCTGCTTATGGCAGTCACATCTGTGTCTTTTCCTAAAACTCCAGAGCAATGATCCAATTCTGCAGCATCCAGATGATTGAATTTCTCCAAACATATTCCAAAAGCAAAGGAAAGCTGGGGGAGTTCAGGGAGTGCAAGTACAATCCCTCTCTTGCTAAATCTTATTCAGCAGAGATAGACAGATTGAAGGTGACTTGCTTTCCAAGAAAAAGAGGAGGGGAAAAAACATTCTAATAAATGGCTGCTTTTAAAGTATGCTGTTTGTGTTATAATCTATAATTCAGACAGCTTCTGTCACATAGCCAGTTGGGTCAGTTGGCTGTTTAAGAAAAAACAGACAAAGCGAAAGACAGCTAATTCAGTCACCTTACTTTGTACTTGGGCAACTACAGAGTTTTTCTCTAGATGAATGGGAGAAATAGAAAGATGGATATCAAGCATGAATGTAAAGCTCAGGAGCTTTTGGAAGCTAGTGGCAGCTGAGATCAAACAGACCATTACCTGTTGGGAGCTGTTGTCTCTGAGAGCTGCCCATTAGCATGAAGTATGTTGCTAACAGAAGGTTATACTCTGCCCTATACGTCCTCCCCACTTCTTTTGGTCTTGTGATTTTTTGAACAGTGGCAGAGCAGCAAATGATGCAGCCTGCCTGCAGGTGGACAAGGGCCCACATCACTGTCGTGTTCTTTCCTCTTCCAGAAACTGAAGGAAGACAAGGTGTAGAAGAGTTCACTCCTACCTGGTGTCTCTGATATGCGGAAAACATCTTTTCAAAATCTTCTAGATCCAGCACCTTGAATGCCTTCAAATCATCAATCTCATTCCAGATTGTGCCATGGATCCTCTCCTGGAAGAAAAGGTCATATTTTAATGAGATACCAAAAGCTTTTAGCTAAGAACATCCAATCCCATTTGGACAGACCGTTCTCTCCTGCTCACTGGCCATGTTCCTACATCCTACTACTGTCATTTTAGAGGACATGGTTTGTTTCAGGAATCCAAGGAGAAAAAATAGCGGTGTGTTTTTTGTGTTTTGGGTTTTTTTTTTAAACATTCTGAGTATTTTGTATCTTTCATCACAGCAAGCCTCTGATGAAAGGGCACATTCCAAAACTAGCAGACCACATCTCAAGTAATATCCATGATCCCACAGTGTGTTTCCTTTCAAGAGTGGCCATCTGTCTAACACAATGGTTGTGGTCATGCTGAAAGAAGTGTTACCATCATGAGGAAAAAGCTTAGGAAGGGCACTGATGCATGACAAACCCCAGACACATCTTCCCTTCTGCAAATTTTGCCAGGTTCTATTGTAAACCCCCAAGGGTGTGTGGTTTTCATTCTGCCTGCCTGTGAAAGTAGTTTAAGATTTTATTTTATTTTACTTTTAAGGCTCTGAGTCTTTGAAGTCTAATTGTTTCCTATTACATGATCTCCCCTGTCTACACGAGTTCTTGTTGACTCAGATAGACACAAACTATACCCAGATCTCTGGATCTCCACACTAACTGGAAATGTTTACAACCCGTGTGATACATTGTCCTGAATATCAGGGAATCCTAGCTGTCGGGCAGATGATTAGCATGGAGAGAGACAGGCACAGACTCCTTCTCCAACTTTGCTGTCCACCAACCCTGGACCAAATAAGCTCTTGTGGTACATGAATTAGCTAATCAGCAGTTATCCTAAACTAGGAGAAGGCCTTGGGGTCTCCTGCTGACTTTCTCAGGATGGATGTCCTTGCTGGCAAAGAGGACACAAAGATTGAACTACCTTCTCCTTCCTACTGACCATTAAGGTGCATGTTGTGTGGGACGAACTTTGGGCAATTACACTTTCAGAAAAGGAAAACTTGCTCTTCACACCTGACAACACTGTTTTTCAGTTCATTTAGTTAATGAAGTGGACATTTATTGGACTTTATTAACTGGAAAAATAAGGAAGGTGTTGACTAAAAGGAAAAGGAAACAGACAGAAGGGATTGTAAAGAGACCTAAGCAAACCCCAGGCGATGAAGAGCCAGCAGAACACTGATGCAGAGAAAGCCAGGAACAGCAAGCAATAGCAACGAAACCTTCACGCAGGGTCCAGACCTGAAGTACCTGACTTGTACCTACACAGCAAAGTGCATTAACACTTCATTATCAGAACTAATTAGGAACAGGCTCTACTTCCCATTCACAGTCATCAAAGGAATGAGGGAAATGTGCTAAGCCACAAGGCTCAAGGAGAAAGGAAAAACACCTGATGGGAGGATGAAATGAGGGGGAAATAAAAGTGTGAAGTGTTCTGGAGGAAATTCCTAGCAGAGCAGACAACTGTGGAGGAAAACCAACACCCTCCCTCCAGAGGCAACCTGTCAGTGCCTGAGGGCAAGGAGGGGTGTCTGCAGTGCTATTTAACAGTGAGAGCATATACTAGATGGGAGCAGCATCCATCCCTGAACAGGCTCACCAGGATCATTCCTTGCAATCAGTGTGGCTCTTCTTTCCATAGCAGGAAAAACATCATGACCCTGTGACTGTATCACGACAAATGAGTTCGGGAGACTCACCTCAGCCAAAAGAATAGGAGACAAAGTTAATTTTCATTTTATCCTAACCCTGGACTCTACTGCCAATCCTAGGCAGAAGCATCCAGGCAGAGTGCTCATTCTCATTCAGGTTCCAGGCTGGCTTTATAAACCTTGAATTATAAACCCTGAGGGATGTATTTGAACAGCAGTGCAGTTCTCAGAGTTCCTCACTGTTTCAGATTGTCCCATCAAACACTGCAATGGAAGCATATTTCTTGACAGGAGCCAGTGGACATGACTTCAGGAGCAGTCCTTAGAATCATCATTGCGATAGAGCCCTGAGGATGCCAAAAAGCTATCTGCTGTGTTTGGCAGAAGGCTAGGTGTGACTCGAGACAGCTACTCATGAGGGTCTTGCCCATCTACCTGTCCGTCTGCAAAACTGCCATGGGAGTGAACTTTCCTCACAAATGGCAAGAAAAGTGAAAACACGCTACAGAACAGGCTAGTCTGAATGAATTGCAGAGGTGCCAGAACAGGCAGTTCTGAGACTCACAAAGGGATTGCAGAGAGTAGTTCTCATCCATACCTTCCCAGAAAAACAACCCAAGGAAGTGAAGATGATTCTCATTTCAATTCAGATTCATTTTAAGACCCAGGCTGAATCTGGTCCTGTACAGGATGGTTTGTATGCTACTTGTAGCAGAAAGACAAATTTCAAAGCAGCACCCATTGCAATGGTGTGCACAAACAGAACTTTGACCCAAGCAACCCAATTTTAGTGCTTAAAACCAAATGGGCTAATCCAGTCAAATAAAAAAGAGGCAGGCAGAGGTATGAACAACCTTTGTTACACAAAACAATTGCAATGGGGCCGTCCCTTCTATTTCTGCCCTAAGCTCTGCCCTTGAAAATTTTAATGTTGCTGCCAGACAATTTCCTACACTGAGCTCTTGCTACTCAATTATGGATTAACTGGCTGATAGTTCCTTGTCATCAGCCAGAGAGACTGATCATTTTAAGAGAAACAGACTTGCATAATGTGGTTGCTATGATAAATTATTCCCTCAGCACCATAAAAAATATTTATGGTCCCTAAATAACAATTTAAAAATAAAGTAAATTCTTTATTTCTTCTTTCTGTTTTTCTCTGTCCTTAAAAAAAAAAAAAAGAGGTCACTTCATATGTAATATGCTTTTCTCTCCATATTTATTTATTCATTCATTTATTCATTCTAGAAGTCTTTGAAGATCTGTGGTTCCTCTGCTTTGCAAAGTCTTGGCCACCTTTGAGAAGCAAATCCTATGAACTACATTTGCCACCATCCTCTAGCAAAATGGTAGTACATATTAGGTAAGGAAACGTCTTATTATCAGAACAAGTATTGACAAGACATTTGCTACATCAAGCTGAGTTTTTGGTATGTTGCATTTAACAATTTGCTTGCTGTAGCTGCTGCAGTTATATCATTCCACCTTTGTAATGAAGCCAAATTCGCTGAGAGAGCTACCAAGATTAGAGAATGACAGTGTTTCATGGAGCTACAAATCATATCAAGCTGTCCTCTGCTACATCTAACAGGTGATTTTATTTACCCTGAAAGATAAATAGTGATACTCTGCAAGCCACCAAGTCCATCACGCCTCAATAGCTTCACAGCATGAGTGAAAACTTACAGTACTTTGCTAAAGCCTTTCACTTGTCCTGCAGGTCCAGAGAAACCACAGAAACTATGAGTGTCCTGTGAATACTGGAGCAGGCAATCCTGCTTATTAGTAGGCTAATATTTTTAAAATATTAACCATCAAAAAGTGAAGCAACTTAAAATTTTAATTCATAATTCCATTATGAATCTGAAAAAGGGATATGAACAGAGTGTGTTTTTCATATTTCTCTCTTGATACCAGATCCTTTCCTCAGTGTAAGAAAAATCCACTTTGAGCAAAAATTGTATTTCTGGCATGTTTGTTAATTGAGACAGATGTTTTATCTCACTGTAGGACTAGGCACCACCAAGGCTATTAGTAGTAGCTTCACACTGAGATTTTGTAGAAATCTTTCCATTAATTTTGAATCCCTGGCAGCAGTCCTGCATCATTGTTTGCCATGATCCTCAGGCTGCTTTTAGGAACAAAGTTCCAGAAATCAGAATCATCAATAACATTACAGAAACATTTTTAAAAAAAATTAGTGTAAAAATGGACATTTTCTGTTTATGTGATTTTTTTTTGGGGGGGGGGGGCGGGGGGGGGGGTTTTTTGTTTAAATCCTATGTTGTATGTAGATCAAATACCTTTCTTCTGAGAATTTCACCCAGGTCTATTTAGGGCTGGCTAAAGAAAGCCCCTTTCAGATCACTGACTAGAGTCATTACCAGCCTGACTCTTAATGGGAAGCTGCTTTTCCAGCCATGAGATAACAAGCAGCACAGTTGAAGGTTGACCTGATTTACTCTGATAACTTCAAATCAATATATTTATATTTATTAAAGAGGTAATTATATTAATCCATACTTCCAGTGTGCTTGAAACTAGTCCATCATTTGGATTAACCATAAATGTCTGGTCCCTGTTTGACCTTGGGTGTTGTGTAAAATTCAGAGTGGGAGAGCAAACTCCATTTGCTGTCCAGAAACAAAGAAAGGAATCTTTCCAGGACATTACAGTGGTTACACTGCAATATCTTTTTCTTAAAAAACAGAGATCCTTGGCACCAGCACTGCTGTAGTGCTGTATGAATGGAATTCACAGATGATGTTACAGTGCTGTATGAATGGAGCTGTGGTGTGGAAGGGCTTAACCAGAACTCAGCCCATCCATGCATCTAAATGGCTTTGCCACTGATCGTCAGCTCACATCAAAGCTAGTACAAAATCTTTAATTCTCAAAGGAAATTAGCGGGTTGTTGGAGTTTCCTTGTTAGAAGCACGAATACTTTCCAGTCAAACCTTTTTTCATGGTGCCCATGGGAACTGTGGACAATCTGTTATTGTCAACTGCTAAGAGTCTGAATATATTTGATCATTCTCCTAACACCCAACAGCTCAGTCCTTTCCTTCCAAAGACAATATCAGCATTGGGAAAAGACGAGTCATATGAATTGCCCTGGAGAACAGCTCTGATTCCACTGCTGAGAAAATGTATCGCAGACAAATCCCTCTGTGGACAAAGCCCTGTCCACACTCCTCTTGGGCTCTGTTGGCTTCCTCTCACTCCCTTGAGGCAGGATGCATGAACAGAAAGGGGTTCACTCTCATGTGGGCTGCCTCAGTTCTGACATCATCTTCACACTTCAGAAAGCTTAGGAGAGAGACTCCGTACTAACTGCTTTGAGAAGGATGGTCTAAACCGTATGCAGAGATACCTAAGAGCTGAATAACATATTTGACCTGGCTGCAGCCCTGAGCTTGTGTACAGGTGTTTCCAACCCTGTGTCACCACACCTCACTGTGTTGCATGGTGCAGACATGCCTGTGCTCTCTGCTAACTAGACAGGTCTTTTAAAATGAAAAACATATACATGGTGTCAGGTGTATTTTTCCTCAAAATGCTTTTGTGGGCAAAACTTGCATTCATGTGAACTGGAAGTTAAACACTACCATGAACCACAATAATACTACGCACACTTCCAGGCCTCAGTTTCCCATGCTCAAAACCTCAAGATATGCTGCTCCCAGCCAGTGTATTTGTTGTATAGCTACTTTGATAGTTCAGGAGAACACCACAGAAGTGCCACAAAGGTAACAAAAGGCAAGATGAGGCCATCCGACCTATTTGTGACTTTGCATTCAGAGGATTTATATCCATGTGAACAGAGAGAAAGTGCCTGGTACTGAAGCAGGGAATCTAGGATAACCAATGAAGACAGGCAAAACATATTGCCTCCTCCAGCAGTCAGTGGAATTAAATAATTCCACAACAAAGTACACCCCAAATAACAAGGCAAGCCACGTGTGTCTGCACCACAACCTCTGCAGTTTTGCAGAGACCTTACTAGGTCAAAAAGCTAACACTGGCAAACACGCCAAAATGAAGCCCCCACCCTCTTATGCCCCTTTTCCCAACTATTCTGCCTTCCTCAAAATAGCATATTTTACCCACCTCACCACCCAGGTCTTCAATTTTATTAGCACAGCTGCCTTCACTCCTAACCAGAGGGCAGGATAACTACAGTTACTGTACACTAAACAGAAACACCTGTGACACTCTCTTTTTCATATACATTCATATATATACATATATTAGTTATTATTTCTTTTCTTCAGAGCACTAAGTCCCATGTTCTGCAAAGGAAAATAAATCCCCATCCTTACATTCTCTCCCACACCCCCCACGTGGCCTTGACAGACAAGCACAGACGGTACAGCAAATATTTCACTTCACTTTATTTTAAAGAAAAGGAGAGAGGGGGAGAGAGAATTCTTGTGGCATTCCAGAGGTCCCTGGACACTCATTCCAAATGCCGGAGTTGGGCCCTGGGTGAGTTTCAGTCTAAAAGAGAACCTGGGTTTCTAGGCAGCCATCCAAACTCAACACAGACACTTTTTTTCTTTCTAAATCAGTTAAAAAAAAATTAAGACCTAAAGAGAAAGGAGCGGGGCAGGGAGGAAGAGAGAGAAGAGGAGGGGAAGGAAAGGCAACCAAGGTAGCAGAAAATTAGTGCAAAAGGAAGAATCCAAGTCCTCTGGTTTTATTGCCAATTTGGAGTTTTATCGCCAAGAGAGAGAGTTGTAAACATGCAAAGAGAAGGGCAGCTTCCCTTGTGGCCGTGAACAAATGGTGAGGAGAATCAGGCCACCTTTCTCTCCTTGGTGACAGCTCCTGCCAGAGTAGAGGAGGCTGGTTTTGGAGCTGGTTCTCACCATGTTTTGCCCACATTGGCTCTGGCCATCCTTTTCCCTGATGTGCAAGTGAGGGCAGCTCTGGCACACCAGTCCTGGAGATATCCAGCTCTGGCTTACAAATTTTGTCCCACTACAGCTTTGCCTAACTGATAGCATGCCCAGATCTACTGCAGCTCAATCTAACCAGAACCTTGGTCATCACAGGAGATATGCTGCACTGCTGGAGAACTGGGGAGACTCTCTCAAGACAGTTACTGACTCCTACTGACCTCAGCCCAAGGAAAGCCACAATATCACTGGCTTCTGTCACCTTATACTTCATGGCATTAATCAATACCGAGTTATACTTAGAAAATAAATTAATTGCTGCGAGTACCACAATTTCTTACCTCACTCAGCTTAGCCCAGTTGAAGGATTTCAGTGGGTGTGAAGGCTGTGGAATAGATTTCTTCTTCAGGCTGGTGCCACTGGTGCTGAAGGTGGTTGTTGAAGGGGGTGGCATCCCCACGCTGAAGAAAGGTGGTGCTCCTGGTGGGGGAGGAGGTCCTCCTGGTGGAGGTGGTGGAGCAGGAGGAGGGGGACAGCTAGAGAAAGGCAGAGGAGGTGGCAGCGGGGGCAAATTCTCAGACATGTGAGAAGAGGACAAAGCTAATGGGCCACCTGGAGGGGGGGGTGGTGGGGGTGGGAAGGAAATGCTGCCCCCTTGCTGGAAAATAAAAAACACACAGAAAAAGAAAGCAAACAGTTTAAAAGGCACAATAACTCCATATTGCCAGCTGATGTGATTTTATTATGAGTCTCAAAATATTTGATGTTTTCTTTAAAGCCTCCTGCACTCAAAGCCATGCAATAAAGGGAGGAATCTCAGCTTTCATTTAAGAGAAAGCTTCAAGCCCTTGAAGTCGTGGAGAAGAGCTTAAAAAAAGGAATCATAAATGGCTCAGAAAAACAGAAAGCTAGTAAAAGAAGCCAAAATGTATTATTTTCTCCTTATGTAGGAAAAAAGAGAAAAGTTCAATCTTATGAGCTTTTGAACTCCTGGGCTTTAAACCTTAGGGTTTGAAATACTGAATACCTGTCATTAGGCCCCGCTAATGCAAAGTGGGAGAGGGGAGGAAGGAATGAATCTGCTTTCTAGGAGGGTCTAACTTCTCAGGGCCGTGTCCTGGTGAGTTGAGACTCAGGCACACTGCTGGGACAGAAGGAGCACCAAGCAGGAGGGAACAGCTGCAAATGTCACTTCTGCAGAGCTCCAAGGCAGTACAGATGCTCTTAAAGCATGACAGGAATCCTGTTTCTTCACTAAATTTACTTTCATATCTGGGAGATTTCTCTCTATTACACTGAAATAACAACCAGGGCCACCCCACTCAGCAGTAAAAATTATGGCTGGAGGAGGACACGTGTGACTCAGAAGCTCCTGTGAGGAAAGTGGCTGAGGAGAAGGAATGAAGCAGCCTGTGCATAATCCATTCTATACCACCAGCTCAGGGATTTCGGTCTCAACTAAAAGTTGAGAAGCTTCTAAGTATTCATCTTTCTAGCTGACTAGACAGACTCTTTCTGTGCTGACCATAGAAAGTGTTTCATTCATAATGTGCTTTTGTTCATCATTCACTAGTTAGGCAGGCTTAAAACAAGCATGGGAAGAGTCCCAGTCTCATACCGAGAACTCATTAAGTTGAGCCACCAGGTCGTTCATCTGGTCCCGGGTCTGGCGCAGCTCCAAGGATTCCTTCTGCAGTTTCTCCTTCATTTTGTTCAGTGTCTTCATCATTTCATCTTTCTCCTGGGTCTTTGTCTCACATTCCCGCTCCTTCTTCTCTAGCCTGCTCATCAGCTCAGCATGATCTAGGGGGAACAGGCAAGTGGGGCTGATGAAATAAAGCTCATGAACAGTCCCCAAAGGGATGCAGGTTATGCTGAAATAAAGCTGACAAATCTGTCAGTTCAACTGGGGATGTACAATGAGAATAGGAAAAAGAAAACAGAGTCTGACTGTCTTGACAGTGATCTTCAGTGATCAAGACAGCAATGCCCAAGTTTCACTTAGACTGTAAAATCACTTCATGTGATGACCGAGGGAGGCCCCATCCTATGAAACACATAAACTGATCAGCATGAGACAAAACGTACTGGAGGGAACAAAGCAGGGTTTGTCCATGAAAGGAAAAGTTGTGCCCAGCTCTGCTGCCCACTGCTCTGTGACTGAATTGGGATCAGTCTTGCCTCCTCTTTTGCCTCCCCAAGCACGGAGGATGCACTCACCTTTCCGAAACTTCTCTGCCTGGTCCCTCCACTGCTTGACTTCATTTTCATTCACCAGCCTGAAACATGAAATCAGATCATTTAAACTTTTTCTGAGCTACCCAGGCTGAAAGGCAAGTGGCCATTATGTGTAGTGATCAGCAAAAGGCAACCTGGTGAATTTACGTGTTTATACAGGATCATACCAATGGTCAGTCTGGTTCCAGATCCTGATCCTTACTGTAGCCAACAGCTAATATAAATGTGATGGTTTGTTGCTCAAAGTCCTGAAAAGGGATAAAGGAATGCCTGATGAAAAAAATCCTGGTATGTTCCTGTCTTCAGGTAATGCCCTCAAAGTGCCAAGTTTTTTGAAAGACAGAAGTCATCACTAAAATAATCATAGCTGCTGTGGGTTACAAATTACCCCACCCTTAATACAAGACCAGACTGCCATCTTTTTTTCTACTTTATGTGGTTCTATTTTTTCTTTCTTACAAGGAGGGAGGATGCTTATCTATTGGGTAATATATCAGTAACAAGGCAATGCTCATATCTCATACTGGCACAGCTATTTCCTATTACTGACAGAAAATATGCAGGGCATGCTGGGGATTGATTAGATATGCAGAATGAGGAGTAGCTATGCAAGTAGAAAGGGAAGATCAGGCACGAAGTCTACAATGAAGTCTGATATCCAGACAGACAGACAGAAAGAGATCAACATCAGTGTATTTTTCCATTATGAGAAATCACTTTTGATTTTGGCTCATGCCTGCAACAGAAGGGACTGTAAGATTTTTAGTACAGGAGAATTTGGTTTCATATGAGGCTCATGTTCTATAAAATGCTCTTTTCAGTGGATAATTCAGAAGGGTAATGGGCCATGAATTACCTGCGGAGGCAGATGGATGGGATGAAGAGTCCAAAAGTTTGGCTAAAAAAGTACTGAGAACAGGGAAGTTGAGATGAGAGCCAGCTCATGTAGCTAGACTTCTCAAATGATGCATCCTATGGGAAAAAATAATGGTAGTGCCCTCAGCCAAGTCTATGGGTGAGAGCATGCAGACATTTTATGAAGAGGTACAAGGTTTTGTGTGCTAGGCGGGGGTTGCTTTCCACTATTTGAAATCTTTCTAAACTAAGCACATGCTCATTAGTGAGGAATGAGATCTAAGTAGAGATGAACACTTTTTTTTTTTTTTAAAAATATCAATGAAAGCTTTTATCAACATTTTGAATGAAAAAAGGCACATGAGGAAGCCTTGTTATAATACCATGGGTATTTTTTCTGCTCTTCTAACCAGCTTAATATTTAATAGAAATTAGAAGCCAAAGGCAAGGACTTTGCTAGAAAATACCATCTGGTTAAGATGTCATTAGAAGGAAACTATTTAGAAGACCAAGAAGGCAACGAGAAGCTGCAAGTTAAAATAAGAAACTCCTCAGATATATTTTATTTCCTAAGCACCTGCATGCTTATCATATACTTATACCTGCATAACAGAAATAAACAATAATAATGCAGCTTACATTTTTATGATATTTTTGACATTGAAGTTTTCCAATGCAGCTATATCTGGATCATCTCCTCGTTCATCCTGAAGAACAATTTGTTGGAGTATTCTGTCCAACAGCTGCCACTGCTGGAAGTTTCCTCCATTCCTCTTATCTGTATGGAAAAAGACCAACCAATGAGAACTTCCATTTCCATGCCAAAGTGTATAGACCTGCCAACAGAATAGCATTCCTTCCTTTCCACCTTCCATCTCAATCCTGTATGTAGTAAATTATAGAACGCAAAGCCTAACACCAAAGTGTTGCTAGCAGATTATTTACAAACACCTGGCATATCGGAACAGCACATGACAGGCACGGACAACTCTGCGCCTGATTTGCACACTCAGGCTATGCAACCCTTTTGACAGATTAACTCTAATTTGCACTTTAAATGCCTACAGGAGTGATTCCTTTGTGATAGTTGTTACTCAGTATTTTCTGGGGCTTGTGTTTGGGGTTTTTTTTGGTACCTAGGTAACATCATGACCAGGCACTGTGGAAACAATCAGATGTTCTATCTACATGCTCAGTTATCTGCAGGTCAGTGAAACTCAACTGGCATGAAAAATTCATGCAAACATGACCAAAAAGTGTGGAGAGAAAGAATAGAAATTGAACTAAAGGGACTGATCCCATGAATATCAAACAGAAGATTCGGAGCGACATGAAGTTCACCTCAGCTCCCTGTGTTACATAACCTAGACCTTTAGATTCTTTAAAACTGCTCCAGTAGAGTACAATCCTGTCCTGGCCTAGCAGGATTTAGCCCTTCTGCCACCAGAAATCCAGGTCAATACCTAAAGCTCAAGTACTGTCTTAACGAGTAATATCAAGGAGACCACCAGGACAAACAACTGCTTGAATTTGTGCACGGCAGTACTTGAATCTAATGAGTGCCTGAAAACATACCACATTACTTTCTGAAAAAGCACATCTCCCTCATGTTCCCTTCTCAGTTTGACTGCTCAAGTATGCCTGAAAGTAATGAAGACCACGACCTGATACCTAACAGGATCAAGGTAGGCAGTTCTTTAGTCATATTGCTGTGCCTTTGCTCAGCTGCTACACTCTGGAAGCATATGGGAATTATTTTGTTACAGTTAACAAGACGATTACTATGACCTCTCCTGAAAACAACTGCCATCATTATTTTTCAGTATGAGTTCAGGAGCTCTCCACTGATGCATTGCCACGAGATAGCAGCCTGAAGACTTACCGTGGAATTTCCCCATGACAGAACAGCTTTCAGTACTGTATTGTTTCACCAGAAAAATTCCTACTGCATTTTGTTAATATTGAAAATATCTATTTCTGGGAATTCCCTGATCTAGAGCACAAGGGACCTTTCTTTTTTAAAATTTCTAATTTAAAATCATTAACAGCTCTGTCAGTGACTAACTAGAATGTCTCAGCTACTTAATTTTATTTGCAAGTGCAGAGAGGTCAAGCTGCTGCTTTAAGTATTGCAACAAAAATCTGCTGGATGGAGTCAGTGTAATATACCAAGTCCCTTAGCCACGGCCAAGTTCTGAATGGAAGACAAGGGCAGTGTGTGTCCTGGTATCTGTGATCCTGTACCTACACCAAAGCTTCACCCAGTTCTTCAACACCCCTTGCTCTGGAAAACTGTGATATACTCACATGGCATTTGCAAGCAGTGCTGGAGGATGGATAATAAATAGGGATAGGCATCTGTGTGCTTCAATCTCTTCTTGATCAACTCAAACATCTGAGAGGCACTTTTTGTATCAATGTGGATCTGAAGCGAGAGAAGGTAGTGAAAGAACAACTGAGAGAAAAACCATGCACAGTGAAAGACTGACTAACTGTGAAAGATCTGATCAACACAGAGACAGGCAAATTTACAGCAACTGGGCCTCTGCTGCAATGTCCAGCTGCAAGTTCCAGTGAGGAGCAGGCACATGGGTCTTTGAAACCAGCATTGCCATCCCAAGTCCAGTATGGAAAAGATCCCCAAGGTAAAGGGCTAGAAAGGTGGGAGGCATGCAAAGCCACCAAGAGCTGTTCTGGAGCAAGCAAAACATTTGAGTCCTAGACAATGGTGGCACAAATAGTAGAAGCTAAGCAGGAAAGGGCTAGTTGTTCTGTATTGGTGTGTGGCAAGAGCTGGTCATGAAGAAAGAGGAAATTGTAACTATTCTGGACCCTACAGCCTCTTACTGTTGCTAGAGGTTGTGGAAACTGTCCTTGTTTTATGCTTGTCTTTAAAATCCACCCAATATAAAATATTGATCCTCTCCACAGGCTCTGAGGTGACAGTCTTCATGACAGTTTCCTGTAATCTTGGGAAAAGTATCAGAGAAGAGCCCAAGCTTCACCCATAGTCCTGTAAAGGGAATGTCTGAAACTGGAATGCATCTGGATCATCAGGACTGAGAACATGAGAGCAGGGTTGAGAACCTCCTCCACTCCTGAACCTTCAGCCAAACAAAAGAAAGAAGTCTTTGTCAAAGACACTTGGCAGAAGCCCTGTCTGTGATCATTGTTTTCATTGTTCACACATCACAGACCCTCTACTTGCTAAATGAGGAACACTGAAAACAAGAGCACCAACCACTCTCAGCACCCAAGTCAATTATTGTTTTCAGGGAACTCAAAGGGGTGTTGCACCAAGCATCCAAAGTGGGTGTTCAGCTTTGGCAAGTTCAGGTACTCCAGAGAAAAACTTACCAGGTCAAACCGCTTGGCAAGTTCCAGGTCATCTTCATTTCTGACCATCTCAAAGAAATCTAAGTGCCTAAGAGAAAACAGAAAAACCAAACAAACAAAACCTGCCAATTTTCATGGCATAATTCAGACTTAAACTAAGCGTGTCACTACAAAAGCAGCAACACCTCATTTCTAGCTAGAACACTTGGAAATTGGCAAGCCTTTCTTACATGAAGTGCTGGGATAGGTATGCAAGGCAACTTATGAGGGTCAGTGACAGGCCAAAAGGAATCGCTGGCTGAGGTATACATGCTCTTTAATCCTTGTGCTAAGTCACTGTGTTGAGGTAAGGCTGCTAAAAATAAACATAAAATAGGAAAGGGATATTCTATTTGTGATGAATGCAATGTCTGCAATGATAATACGTTTCTAAAAAGTCCGTGCCATACTTGTTAACCGGATATTAGACCATTAACAAGTAGTTTCTTTTACATGGTGGAGCAGAGATGCATTCAGTGGATTAAACAGCAGAGCTCACAGCTGTCTTTACATTCGCCCATTGATGAGCACAGCAGCATGCCTCTGTTGGGATCTGGGGGACCTGGTGAGAGACACATTTGACCACAGCATCTGGACTTCTCTTGCATGGAGACCAGAGCATAGCAGATGATGTGGAGAAAGGCTGTGGCACATCCCCCTATATAGACCTGGCACATAGTCTAGGTAATCCAGGCATCTGGGATCCTCTCAAATCTCTGGTATCATTCTCATCACTGTAACCTGTAAGATCCAAACGTGCCCCTACACCCCTCCTAAACACTCTTGGTTACTGACCAAAGGAACAGGGCAGTCCTATTGCCTACAGGACAGATTCTCTCCTTGGTTATCACGTTGTAGATCAAACGTAACGTTACTGGTTCCAGCTCTACAGCAAACTGTAGACACATAAAACTGCATGCAATCTTTCCCTGTCACATTAATACACATGTATATACATCCACCTGCTCAAGGATGTGAGGCCACATCCTTGAGGCTACATGATGACAGGCAGCTGGTGCTAACCTGGTGCTGATGCAGAATCTCAGGCACATTACATTTGCCCCCAGGGATAGCTCTATCACCCTATAGCCGCTCCTGACAGTGGATGTTTGAGAAAATGGTGCCTTCAAAGCTGCAGGCACAGGCCTGATCCATAGGTTTTTCACCATGTGCTTTGGCAAACTTGACACTTCTATCTAGGAAATCCCAGACATCAGATACCTACAGATCAGCCCTGCTCTGTAGGAAGGGGCTTGGAGTAGCAGGCAATAAGGGATAGCAGCATGTCAGCAGGTCAATGCCTCTCCACAAAGCTTCTCCTGTGGTCACAGGAGGAGGTAGACTCCTGTGACTGCCTGCTCTTACACCTTAAAATGCTTAATTTTGTTAAGCAAATGGATTTTACCAGGCTCCTCATTCGTTCATCAGTCTTTTAGCTTCTTCAAGTGTCTCAGTCAAATTGTTCAGACTGTTTACTCCAAGTTTATTTCAGCATGTGGCTTTGTGAAGGGTTTAATTTAAGGTCATTAGCAGCTTCAATTACTGTGGCAAAATATGGAATTCCTAGTGGAGAAAGCATTTGTTATCCATATAACTTTCAACACAGTAATTTGAAGGTGCCATTCAGTGTTACATTTTGTGCAGTAGCAGACCTGTTTGAAGATGCTCCTCATTATTCTCTCTTGCCACCTTGGCATGTCTATCCCTTTGCCCACCACAGGTCCCCCTTCTCTTAGAGTTGTGCCAGTGCCACAGTTTGGGAGGTTGTGGTAGAAGCTAGATCACAAAAAAGACTAAGCTTAATGAAAAACCTTGGAAAACTCAGATCCTGTGTTTTGACCACACATACTCAGTCTCAGTGAAGTCAATGAACTACTGGCTTCCCTCCCTCCTACCAGGACAGGCTTTTGTTCCAGTTTTGATACAAGAGAAAAAGAATTAGAACTTTTTTTTTTCTTTCTGATTGCCATCCCCAGCTTAGAAAAAAAGCAATTCAGGAACTCCTTGCCACAGCCACTGCCAATTTAGTATGTATGTTTTCTACTTCATCTACTGATTTTAATTTTAAGGACAAATCTTTTTGTCTTTAAAGGGAGTCAGTTTTTAGGGAGAGACAGAGACAGCTTTGTGCTTAAATCTGAAACCCAAATGGAGAAGAGTTCCTAAAAACTCTTTCTGTTGATCCATAACTGTTCTCAGAAAATATGTCTTACCTGTCCAGCGTGGCATTCTCATGTCCTCTTAGTTTGTCAATGACGGGTTGAATTCCCAGCATTAGAAATTCATATCGTAGGTGTAATCGGAACTCCAAATTGTCCTTAAAAAGTGAGGGAAAACCAAGTTATTAGGTTCCAAAAGCTTTTAAGCATGTTCAAAAAAATTAATTACTTAAAACCTCAGTTCTTCCCTTTTTAATATCCTCTATCCTGACACCAGATTCACAGGATGATTAATTCCAGTAAAGCAAGTAAAAAAAGTAATGCCTTTGCCTCTGTTTCACTTAAAAATACAGTCCTCATTTACCTACAATGAGTTCTGCATACCCGATCAGAAGGACAGCACACTCCATGTTGTTCCAGAAAGAACAAAAATTACTAGTGTGTCTTGCTAGTCCATTAGGGGTCTGTCTCCTGCTTACAGATGAACAGTACTGCAGTCTTCCTCCTAGTTTTTATGTTTATTTGTCATAAAATCACCATATATTCTGGCAAAATTGACACTTATTCAGTGGGATGTTACAGGACTGCCATATACAGAGACAAATACATTGCCAGACAGAGCTCTTAGGAGCTGCTTGTCTGTTGTGGTTTAACCAAAAAAACCAAAAGCCAGTGTAACAAAAGTAACACTTTTAATGAAACATAATCAGTTTAAACTATCCTCCAGACTCAAAAGAAAGTCCTGTTAATGAAAGAAAAACAACGAACTGTCTTTTCTAAAATGTCTCCCTTTGACATTTTTAAATTAAAACGTTTTGAGTTTGGCTTTGAGTCAAAACAACATTTCAAAACATTTCTGAAGGTAAACCAAAATGTTTTCTAAGGGGCTGAAATCAAGAGGTAAATGCTTTGCAGTTCTTTAAAACAAAACAAAACAAAAAACCCTCAAAGCAATCAATTTAGTGCAAGTAGTCTATGTTATATTAGAAGAGGCTGGGAATGAAATAATATGGAAGACATTATAAGACTGATATTGACAATTAAGCTTTATTTTCCACAAACTATGTCCACTCAATAACACAAGATTTGTGACTTAGTCTACTAGCCATTTGCAAGGGAAATTAATTAAAGTATAACATTTTAGAAGGAATTTCCAGGGCAGTGACTCACCTCACCAGCACCAGCATTCAGAACAGCATTGATAAAGGACATGATGGCTGTTTTGAGATTTACTTCATCTCGGTATCGCCCCATGCTTCGGTCTAGCTCATTCAACAATGTCTGAAACAGAACAGCAGGCTGGGTTACAGGATATAATCTAATTTCTTCACCATTTTGCACACTGTTTATGGGATATGCATACAGTCTTCTTTTGATTTGCTATATATTTGCTTAAAGAAATAATTTTTTTCAGATAAGGTTGTTAGCAATTTGGGGCATGCCACAATAAACAAATGAAGAATAGTGATAAGAATAAAATGCCCACCTGATCCTAATGAAAAAAAAAAAGTTCTTTTCTTAAACAAGCTATCATTTGAGAAAAAGCAGATGCCCTTTATAGTTTCTGCCAACATGATCTAAGAAAGCAGCAGAATGATGTCCTTCCTAGTCTGTTAACTCCGGATGGTGAATATGACAGGGAGTTTACACATGCAGAAAAATAGCATCAGATTCATACATCCTTTCTACTCATATCACTCAAGTAATTTTAATTATTTTCTTGGATCTCAGCAGGATAGATGGCACTTACGTATACAGTGGGAGAGAATTCTGAAGAGAAGCTGTCTTTTAAGGAATAAAACCTGTATGTGGACCTTGGAAGATATCTCCTTGTTCCTTCACTTACAACCATTTCACATGAAGCAGACAATTACCTACCTCTTGGTAAGCTCCTATTAGGGATTTGCAAATAACAGAAATATCCCTTGTGCATACAGCTCCAAAGCACAAAGGTGAATTACACAGCTCCACTGGAAGTACAGTTAAAATCCAGTTTCCTTGTTACAGAACTACAGAATGGTTTGGGTTGGAAGGGACCTTTAAGGACCATCTAGCCCAACCCTCCTGCAATGGGCAGTGACATCTTTCAACTAGATCAGGTTGCTCAAAGCCCCATCCAGCCTGAACTTGAATGCTTCCAGTGATGAGGCTTCTACAACATCTCTGGGCAATCTGTTCCAGTGTCTCACCACCCTCATCGTAAAAAAATCTCTTCCTTTTATCCAATCCAAATCTAGAGTCTTTTAGTTTAAAACCATTGCCCCTTGTCCTGTCACTACAGGCCTTGGTAAAAAGTCTTTCTCCATCTTTCTTATAAGCTCCCTTTACATATTGAAAGGATGCTATAAGGTCTCCCTGGAGACTATATGTCTGTCTCCCTATTAACCAAATAGCAGGGATATTTAACATTCAGGGGGTATTTAGCACAGAAATGCTTTTGATCTAATCTCTACATACTTACAGATATTTCACCATAATCTTGTGAACATCAGGAGACAAAGGAAAAAAAAGACTAGACAAATAATGTTGGTAGCCTGTGCCTTATAAGGTCTATTTAGGATTAATTCCACTTGAATATTTACTGAAGAGGTTATATGTAGAAACTGATTAGCCATGAAAGCAACTCCACTTTTAGCTTTGTGCTGATGACCATGAACCTTCTCTTCAGGATCTTCTCTGATCAGTTCGTAATTCCAAGGATGATTTTCCTTACTGGAAGAGTAACAAATTCCACTTGAGATCTCCCAGTTCAACTGTATGTGTGTCGCTCCAGTGTTAATAATAAATGCTCCACACTCACATATTTGTTTTGCTGATGCACTAGGAAAGACAGAATTCTTTCTACTCTTCCCAAGAAGTTTTGGCCATGAAGGGAGAATGAAGACGAAAATAACTTCTTAGTGTTCAGCTCAGCACATCCATCTAAATAATATTTTGAAGCTATGATGCTGAGTAAGGAAGTTCATTTTCCTTTAGTCAGTCTTCTGTCCCTGGCTACTGAAAGTGTTCATTCATAGCAAAACCTTTCCTGTGCTAGTCATCAGTTTCATAGGTCTATCTTGTTTCCTGTAGAAAACAGACATCACCACAGAGATATGCCTCAAGAAACAGGGGGAATATCTTCCTGTGCATTCCCCAGGGGAAAGAATACCCTCCTGGCTTCACACACACCCTTTGCTTGTTTTTGTGTAAAAATCTTTTAATCTATCATATGCTGCTACTGACAGCTGTTCTTATATCTGAGCATAGTATGTTCACTAACAAGCAAGCTTGATTTCATAAACTCCTTTTTCTTGCATCTTCTAAATTGCCCAGCTGGCACTTGCAAATGTCCCTACTCCTGACATTTGAACTTCCATCACATCCATGATTTCCCAGTAGTTATATTATGGCCAAATACCAACCCTTCCCCCATTTTATTAGAAATGGGAAGGAGTCTTACCATAAAAATACATGAAATACCCTACTGAGCCAGACTGATGGTCAGTCCAGTCCAGCATCCTATCTCTGACAATGCCAATAGAAGATTATTTAAGAGGTCTTTAAATTCACTAACAAACCCAACTCTTCAACTTGACAAATAAGCAGAAGTGAAATAAACGAGAGGATTTAGTTCTGTTACTCTCAGATTTGACTCTGAAATCCAAAGCGTATGTGTCTCCTTGGAATAATTTAAATAGCCATTACTACAGAAGCATCAAAACCAAGGGTGGTTTTGCTGATTTTCTTCAGAGGCCTCATTCCTACCATATATTCTCACAGACTTTTATGAATATGCTAGGTTCTATGCAACAACATATCAGATACATCATCCAGACAGGTTGAAGGATGTTAACAAAAGTTTTCTATCCCCCACTTCAGAAGGCTGGACTAGGAGCAGAACGCAGTGGGGGCCAAGCCAAATTCAGGGCAAGAAAAACAAAAACTCTGGGTTGCACTAAGCTAATTGAAGAGCAGCACATCTTCATGTGATTGCTCAGCTCTAGAAGGAAATACTGTAAGTTCATGCAATTCCTAAACATCAGAGCCTACACGAAGACTCTTCACACACCGTGGCCGAACTCCAATATCTCCAATGCTTTGCAAATGGCTGTGGTTCAAGTCTTCACTTGAACATTTCCTGTGAAAAAGATTTCACCACACCTCTTGGCAGCCAGCTCTGTGGCCCAGTTGATCTTATGGTTGTAAAGGTTTTTCCTACTATTTAAACAAAACTTTCCTCACTTAATCCCATTATTCCTCATCACTGACATCCAGTAGGTTTTCATTCAATCTGCAGCAAACCTCAAAAGGCTTTGGATGAGCCCTGAGGGGAAGAAGCAAATCAAGTGGGAATACAGGACTTTAATTTGTTCCTTGCTAGCTCCTCTACTACAATTCCAAATTGATCAGATTTCTCCCTACAGATTATGGTCTGTACTGACAGTGTTTAACACAAACCAGGCAAGGGGACACTGGAAGGAATGCTTCTGATCTCCACCTTTTCAACTGACAATATCAAGCTTCCTTTATTCCTTCACCTCAAGCTTCAAAATTTCTAGCAGCATTAAGGAGGAAAACAAGAGTGTTCAGCCCAAAGCAGCCCAGTTAATATTTTCACTGGCAATTGAAATCAGCTCCTTTCAGACAGTATCTAACACCTAGGTTCTCTCAAGACTAAAAGGAAAATTCTTTCTGCCCACAGGGGTCCCCAGCTGGGTGGGCGTTTCAGACAGCAAACTAGGCTGGAAGGGTACTGGAACATCCTGATATACTTTCCTGGGACCAGTGCAGCATTATGACTTTGCAACATTAGTTTGATTCAAAATATGGCTTGTTAAAAAGTACAACATGTTACAATGTCATAGCAAAATGCATTCACTCCATAGGAGAAATGAGGGGAAGCAGAAAGCATAACAATCATCAGAAAGGCAACAGCTTAGGGAACAGTAAGATTGTGTCCCTTTCACAAAGAAAACCAGTCATAAATAGGATAATGCAGACTTAAATGGCAGATAATGCAGAAATCAAAGATTCTTCTTTTTCAGTTTTCATAGCCCTTTAGAAACTTCCATCTTCACAAGAAATGCACCTAAGAAATTCAAGATAAACCAACATTTTCATGGTCACACAGTGAGCCAGTGACAGAATTACACTAGTACTGACTTTGAATACATCAGATGGAAAAGAATCCCAGCAAGGACACCAAGGGCTCATCTTCCTAATTCCACATTTCTGCTTTGAGGGTTTATTGTCTGGCTTTCCAATGTTTTCTTTCATCTCTCTTCTTTAAGGGGCAGAGTAGAATTTGTAGGCAAAGAAGCATATTTCAAACAAAAATTGGATGAAGAAAAGACAGAGCTTTTCCAGATTGCCTCAGGAAGGAGATTGAAGGCATGCCTTTATATTATTGTGGTATTTGAGTAAAGATGGAATACTACTCTGAAGAGGACAGCTTTCATGGAATATCTTAAAAGAGGAATGGCAGACTGCCTGTTGGACATAAAAAGGAGCCTTATTCCAGGCAGAAGGGCACCATGAAAGAAGGGTCAAAGATTAAAGCAGGCAAAGGGATCAGCTCAGGCAAGAAGCTGTGGCAAATGTGAGAAAATAGGAACAGCCACAATATAAGTTCAGACACAAGCATGAAGTATAGAATCTTGTTGCAAGTGCCAAGAAAAAGATGATCCTAATAGACCTGTGAAGACACTGAACAGCAGAGATATAGGGTGAAGTTGTAGTACTAAAAGGCATTCGATAGAAGACTGAAGTGCTAACAAAGAAGAGTAAATTCTGGAGAACCTCCCATAGCTTTAAAGTGACTCCTCTCTGAAGTTAAGGATTAGATTGATAATTGCAGTCAGTAGGTGAAATGCTGGCAATTTAGAAAGAAGCAATATTTTACATCAGATTTTCTACTCAGAGCAAAATATGAAATTTTCTTATGTTAAGGACATAGTCCTTCATACTCATAAAATTTCTAACTATATTTTCCATTAACTTCAATTGAAAAAAAAGAACACATCAAAAAGCAAGGACATCCTTTCCAAAATATTTCAGCACAGTTTGATTACTGGTCTTCAGTTGTATGACCTAGTGGAATTTAGTTAAATTAACTGGGATTACAAGTGTTTTATCACCCAGGAATCTCACTGTAATTTGGATTTGGACTTTAGATACACTAGTATAAAACTGTAAGTTTTCTATTGAAATAGTAGGAGTCATAGCACAACAGAGCCAATGCAAGTTTAGTAAGAACCATTTCTTAAGTCACAGCTTCTCTTCTCTACTAATTCACTAGTGGCTGGGTCCTCTGACTACTTTTGGCTAGCTGTGCCAAGTAGCAAAAGTTGTGCTTAGAACACGGACCAGCAATAACTTCTGACATTCAACGAAATATGCCATGTTTTATGTCGTCATGTTAAATACATGATCTCTACATCACTCAACCACACTTGAGCACATGCAAATTGGAAGTAATCAGTGTTCCAATCTAAAGTTGTCAGCAGCAAGTTATGCACATGCTCAAGTTTTAGATGGTTGCCAGTAAATAATTCTGAACCTCTCTTCCTCCTTCTTACAAAGAGGAGTGGAAGCAGAACCAAGCACCCCAAATTTTTATTCATCACCATGATACTCCTCTGCAAGAAGGCAAAAAAAAGAAAACAATTTGTGTTGGGGAAAAACAGATACGGAACAGTATTTGTTAAATTGACCTCCTGATTCCTCAAAGTACACAGTGCTGATCACCACAGACGATATGGGGAGAGTGGGACACTTAGATTCACTGCAATTTGCAAGAGGGGAAAATAAATCCAAACACATAGTATACAAAGTGCCAGCTTTCACAGATGAGGAGGGATAAATTGAAGCGAGGTGGCTAAAAGGGATGAAGAATATTATCAACCACTGTTGTTAGGAAGGCAACTTAAGGAAGAGCAACAATTGCACTGAAGTTGTCAGAGGTCAGCATTACCTGTAAATTATTTATTGGACATTCCAATAAAAATGAGCTCAGTACAGTTTCCAGAAAGCCCTATACTTTTTACTGCACAAGAACTGAGTTTGATTTCCGAAACTGAGAATCTGAAATTATTCTCCTCTTAGGAATTGTGTCTCTAATTTGGCCATTGTCTTACAGAGCTAGATCTAGAGAAAGACTGAGCAGTGCCTTTACAGTTCCCAGCTTTCCTTTCCCCCCGTTAGAATCAGTCTGCAATAATGAATCATAGAGCCAGAGGAATAAATTCCTACTCTGCACATTCAAAGTATGTTTCTCCTGTTCCTACAGTTTAGTTCATTTTTTATTACTTTTCACAGAAAGAATTCTCGTTTCTTGGTTCTGCCAGATCCCCAGTTGTGAGGTATCATTTTCAACATAACAGTGATTAGGTGTGGCCAGTCAAAGTCAACCTAAAGCTGCAAGCTCTAAGCTGCTCAGACACTTCAATACACTGAGTGATGCTGCTGGTTACTCAAGGCACAGAAAATACATCCCCAAAAGAGTTCAGTTTGAAACCTGAAGGATTTCTTCAGATATTTGCAAAGTCTGCGTTACAAAGATTACACTCAGGACTAGGATAAAGAAAAAAAGGCTTTCGCTGCCTTTCACTGTACACCCCATCTTTGACATTTACAGTAAAGGTATAGGATAAGTGTTGTCAGCTCATCCTTTTCTTAAAATGGCCTCCCATAGTCAAGTTACAGTGGATGCTTCTCTTCATAATGAGCTGCAAGACTCTTCTGGGACACAGGTGTGAGAGGGCAAGAGGCAAAGAGATATAACAGTCTCTTAACTAACAAGTCCTAGAGTAACAGAGAACCTTCCATTAAAACCTAAGGAAGACCATGACCACATTTATTTCATCAGCATTTAAAAAAATCCCCAGTCTCTCTGTTAGAAGAAAATGACGGAAGATGGATGAGGAATGTCTCTGGATGAACACTTACTGCCTCAAAATTAAACTTAAGCTATTGCTGTGTGTAGTGGAAAATCCCATTCCAGCATCTAGACACAAGCATTAGAACTTGCAAACAAGAACACACCCTTCTGCTAAATCATTTTGGGTTTTGGTTAGGAGTTTCTTGCTTTGTTTAAGAAAGAAAAAAGAGAGCGTATCCATTTATCTTTCATTTTAAAGAGAGCGTATCCATTTATCTTTCTTTTTTTTACCCAATGGAAAAGCATTTTGACAAAAGCAAGCATTTATGCGAAGTATTCTTTCATGAATGTGAGAATTGGTAAGCATCTGCAAATCATTACACCAGATTACTCAAAAGCTCACAAGACGACCTGTGCTACCACACTTTGCCCAGCAATGACTTATCTCAGTTATTTGGTAAATTTTAAACTAATTAAAAAAAAAAAAAAGAAAAAAAAAGAAAAAAAAAAAAAAGAGAGAGCGAGGACCCAAAGAGGAGACATTGAGTAAACTCAGCATCTATCTCTCATATGGGCTTGTAAAGCAGAGTCACTTGGTCGAGTAAGGATAAGTTAACACAGGATCACAGGTGTTGTCAGGGCTGTGAGTTACCTCTGCTTTTTGCCGAGCATCTAAGGTTATCCCCACCTGTCTCCAAGGTATACAAGAATGTCAAATTAATTCAGGAAGGATTCTCCATTTCAGCTAATTACCAGAGAACAAGCTGGATGGGGCAGTGCACATAGAGGGGTGGACCTGCCAATGCCACATACAGGTGAAAGAATAGAATAAAAGAGAATAGAATTAAATAGACTATTTCAGTTGGAAGGTACCTGCAAGAATCATTTAGTCCAACTGCCTGACCACTTCAGGGCTAAAGCACGTTATTAAGGCCATTGTCCAAATGCCTCTTAAACACTGACAGGCTTGGGGCATTGACCACCTCTCTCGGAAGCCTGTTCCAGTGTCTGACCACCCTCTCGGTAAAGACTAATGTCCAGTCTAAACTGGTGCAGCTTTGAACCATTCCCATGTGTCCTATCACTGGATACCAGGGAGAAGAGATCAGCACCTCCCTCTCCACTTCCCCTCATCAGGAAGCTGTAGAGACCAATGAGGTTGCCCCTCAGCCTCCTTTTCTCCGAACTAGACAAGCCCAAAGTCCTCAGCCGCTCCTCATAGGACATTCCTTCCAGCCCTTTCACCAGCTTTGTTGCCCTCCTCTAGATGCATTCCAGGACCTTAACATCCTTCTTAAATTATGTGGTCCAGAACTGCACACAGTGTTCAAGGTGAGGCCACACCAACGTCGAATACAGCAGGATAATCACCTCTTTTGACTGGCTGGTTATACTGTGATGCACCCCACGATGCCGTTTGCCCTCTTGGCTGCCAGGACCAAGCCAAGATCTCCTGCATCCCAGTCTCAGGTCTGAGTCACAGTCAGTGAATCCCACAGTGCATTCATTCCTAACAACAAACATTGGCAGCTACTGTTTGTGAGCACAAACTGTTTCCCCATTCACTTTTACAGTCATAGCTCATTGTAGCCCCAAATCCACTGATGCATTAGCTGAAGAGGAAGCAGGAGATAATGGCTGACCGAAACTAGGATCCAGGGCCTGTTGGCCCAACACCGCTCTTACTTCACCTAAGAACGAATAGTAAATGGGTGAGGTTACCCCAAAGTTTAGGAGCTACAGCTTCATACACAGCAACAGATTCTGTTACATCTTTTTGTAAAGGTGCTCAGTTCACTAGGAAGAGGAACGTTATAATGGCAGCCAGCAGTATCCACAATAAAAGCCTGTCAATGATCTACTGACCTACCTCAAGGTCTCTGAGATTGAGTTTCCCTTCTGTATTCTGAATGGGAGATATCTGAGCCAACAATTGCTAAGTGGTGACAATTCACAAGTTGATTGCTAAGAGGCAATTGAAGTGCCTCCACTGTCCATTATTTGATCCTCAACTCTTTTATTACTAAATTAAGGGCTTTAAAATCAGGACAGAGGCTCCTGGAATTCTGTGGCTTCAGCTTCTAGGGCAGAACAAATGATTACCACCCCAGAAATGCCATCAGGTTAGAGTACAAACAGATCAACAGCTTTCATTTAACATAGCAAACCCTCCTTTTAAGGTAAAATATAAGAGATTTTAAGTTAGCATTAATAACAAGCAATCACATCTTGAAAAAAAATATATAAATGCTGATAATCTATTTGAGGAAGTGCCCTTCCTAAAACAAAATGAGAAATACTGCCTTTTTACTACCTAACAAGCTTGCAAGACATGCAACTGTAAAAATCACTCCCTGCAGAGATTCATCATACTGGGTATTTCTGGCAAAGTATCCTCCTTGTACCTGGAATCTTGTTCTTTCTGCAGCATAGACTTGATAGTGAAGCATGGCTTGCAAGACTTTCTTGTGACCATCTGGTACCAAGCAGACAGCCCCTAGGATCTCCAGCACAGCAATCTTGGTCTTAATGTTCTCAGTCCGTAAGCTCTGGGAGATGATGTTGATACTCTCTGGATGAGCCAGGACATGAGCCCGTCCTTGGGAGTTGTTCATCAGTGCCTTGATACACCCTATAACGGATGTGTGTATACGGCTCTCTGAGGTCTCATAGTCCATGCTCTTCAGGAAGTTCAGCAAACAGCTCAGGCCATCCAGTTCAATAAACCTGGTCACAAACCTGCAAAAAAAACAGGTAGGAAAAATAAGGAAAGCAGATGAAAGGCAATTTATCAAAAAATACCGTATTATTCAACCCTGCATCTGTTAAAGCTGGCTAGTATTTAGCCTACAGTTCACAGAATAATTCCCAGATATTTAAGAAAAACAAAAGAAATCAAACAAACAAAAAAGAGAGAAAACAGAGTAGCTAATAATGGTGTCTCACATAGTTTCAGGGTAATTACATTCTATCACCTTATGACTCTACTGTTCAGTCATTGTGTTCTTTGTTGCAGTTACCACCAAACACCTGCTGTGGTCCACCCCAATAGTTGCTGCATTTTCAAGGCTGAACGGATTCTTTCAAATTGCTACATCTTACATAGATGCTAATACACACAAGACACATTTTCATACAGACTCATCACCACACTTTTAATTATAAGTTCAGATTATGTTGAAAACCATTTTTAGACTTAGGTCAAACTTTTAGCCAATACTATTTATAGGCTTCCACCTCCAGGAGAGGAGGTAAACTCCACTGACAGAGGTAAACTCATTACCACTGTGTCTGTCAGCTGTACTGACTCACACTCTGATTGTATATAAAATTGAAGTTTAAAAGGTACGTGTTCTTCAGTAAAAGGCAAAGCTCCTATAATGGTCTTGGCTACATTTTTTTTTTGCACTGATTGTTTTTAGTTTGAGGAGGTCTATTAAGGATGGAACAGGTCCACCATCAACCTGCAGTAGTAAAATGTACAGTAAAAACATCATAAATAGAGGAAAAAGAGAATTAATCAGTTACCAGATGACACACTGAAGACTGAACCTATAGTTGAACAGGTTTATTTTGACTATTGACATCACTAGAGTTCTGTTTCTACTGTATTCTACCATAAAATTTGCCTTTCTTCAGGTTAAGATTATGGAAACTCAGGATGAAAACACTATAGGAGAAAGTCCTTGAAAAAGTTTGAGGTTTTGTTGAAAACCAGGGTTAAAAAATCCGGATGGGTCAAATTAGACCACGCAGACAGCCTCCTAGACAAATCAATAGAAATGAATGGAATTATATGTCAGTTCAAACCAATCATTCTAGCAATGCTTCATTTAGAGTACCCAGACTTAAAAATGGGGATTCAAGGATATGAAAGGGGCTGCAAATAATTGCTCTAGATCACTTTGTTTACCTCCTGCCTCCTCTAACAGGTCATTCAGGTAGGTGCGCTTTTTTAGAATGTCTGAATGCAAAACCACATGAATTACATTTGAATTTTCAGTCTAACAAAATGTACACCAACAATAATATTGTTGACCATGCTCTAAAAAGCATAATGTAGAAAGACACCTCAAACAAATGAAAAGGTTGTTAACAATTTGTTACACGGGTGGTAATTAAGAATACCAAAAGTCTGTATAATTTTGCTTTTACCCAGGCCCTCTTCCTCCCTGTTGGATACTTCCTAGCATGCTGTCTTTCTTTTTTCTGCCCTTAAGTGAGATGCTGTTCCTAATATGCATCAGTAATGGAAGCACCATACTGAGAGACTAAATTTCACTGTTCACTTGTCTCCGTTCATATGTCTGCACGAGCAAGACAAACATGAGCCATACTTATATATCTCCTGGATAACATGGACTTGACATACGTATAGTCTTCTGGTGGTTACACCCCATACCACAAGGAATTTTCAGGGTCTACCTGAAAGTTATGCTCACTATGCTGATAGATTTGCCAACTTTCAGCATATTTGGGCCAGCAGTTTGACCAGAAACATGGCAAAGCCTGGTGCTTTCAACAAAGTTTCAGTCTGAGGTTTGAGTTTTGTTCAAAATTGAATTTCAAAATGAGTATCAGAGTAAGGGCAAGCATACACAGGAACATGTGTGCACCAAAAATGAAAATAAGTTTTAGTTGAACCCTGCTAAGACAATCTGCCAAGTTTCACACAGGTCTGATGGCACATTCTTTGGATGCATCATCTTGTCTCGCTGTCCTCGTTTCAGCTGGGATAGAGTTAATTTTCTTCCTAGTAGCTGGCATAGTGCTGTGTTTTGGATTTAGCATGAGAATAATGTTGATAACACAACGATGTTTTAGTTGGTGCTAAGTACTGCTTAGGCTAGTCAAGGACTTTTCAGCTTCCCTTGCTCTGCCAGGTGCACAAGAAGCTGTCCACAGCCAGGACAGCTAACCCAAACTGACCAAAAGAGTATTCCATACCATATGACATCATGCTCAATATATAAACTGGGGGGAGTTGGCCAGGGGGCAGCGATCGCTGCTCAGGAACTGGCTGAGCATTGGTCAGCAGGTGGTGAGCAATTGCATTGTGCATCTCTTGCTTTGTATATTCTTTTATAATTATTACTAGTATTATTACTTTCTCTTCCTCTGATGTCCTATTAAACTGCCTTTATCTCAACCCACGGGTTTTACTTTTTTTTTTCTGATTCTTTCCCTCATCCCACTTGGGGGGAGGAAAGGGTGAGCGAGCGGCTGTGTGGCGCTTAGTTGCCAACTGGGGTTAAACCACGACACTACCCTAACAAATCATAGGAGCAAAAGCCCCCCCTGCCTCCAGGCCAGAGAGAGGGATCAACGTTGTGCACCAGAAATTTGGTAAGTCACTCAAAGCAGTTTGTTATTTAAACTGATTATAGAAAGATTAAAACTTAGTTCAGTTTTTTTAATGCATTTAGCTGCTAGCATGCCAAAGAAGACTGAAATAAGTGCATTCGTGGCTAAAAGAATTGCTGCTAAGGACGTATCTGGAACCAAAATAAGCACAAACTCAACTTGTTACCAAACAATGTGATGCTAATGACATCAGAACATTTCTCTAACCCTGGGCCTAAAGAGCAGAATTGCTCTTTGCCTCTACTATGGAGGGACTAGTTTAAATTCTCCTTCTCCTCCTCACCTCCAAAGTTCAGTTCTATAAATCCATTGCATACCTTAGCTATTCCCTCCATCTTTTAGGGGAGGAAAAAAAGAAAAAAGGCAAAAAAAGCTGATGTTTTGCTGGTGTTTTCAGTTCCAGAGCTGAGAGAAGACTTAAGATGGATACCTTTCTGAAGATACAGAGCTCTACTGACAAGCGAAAACATCCTGAAGAAGCAGCTGAACAAAGAGTCCCTTAGACATACTTTTGGATGGAACACCTGGTCTTATGACAAGACATAGAACACAATATAACCTTCACGTATTTTAGCCTGCTCTGATGATCGTGTGAGAAAAATGGTAAATGCACAAAAGTCACATTGTCCCAGTTAAGTACAATCCCTTACTAAATTCACTGGCAGAGCAATTTTTCTAGGACTGTTTGGCTGAGGTCATTCCAAAAAGGAGGCATGCGCAGGAAAGTGGTGTGTGTCACAGACCTTGATTAATGACATAATTTAAAACAATGTCAGGGTTTTCCTGTACTCTTCCTAGTCCACAGAGCAAACCGTAAGCTGCATTACTCAATAGGAAGCAAAACCAAGTACCTTCCCATTTCAGCTGACATCAGAAGCAGGAATCAAGTGATGATTTTCACCTTCCTTTTCCAAAATACTTAGTTCACTATTCTCTGAAAAAGCCAGAAATCATGCAAGAATGGTGATAGCAGTTTCTGAGCCAAAAGACACTCTTAGTATGAGAATTTGCTCAGTGTGAGCATGTATGTGGGGAGGTATATATGTAAATGTCTGTGCAGGAGAGAAAAAGAGGTGGGAGTTTAGCTAACAGGCTGAGCGCCATAATCCTCACACTGTTTGGTGTTTATGCATCTGTATGTCTGTAAGCAGCAACGTGTGTGTGTGCAAAGGCAAACGCAATTCATACAAATAAAGTACTTTCTTCCTCACAATATACACCTATGTAACTAACTGCCATCCTATACGTCCTGTATGCTGCAAAATAAGGTCTTTTTCTAGACTGAAAGGTGTAAAGTTAAGCATATTTGCCAATGCATTCCAGCTAACACATTCAAAAACTCAAGTGTAAATAAAGCAGGGTGTGTTTTAATAGGTGCTAAACAAGCAAATTAAAGCCTAACCTCACCTCAGACTCTCACTTGACCAGTTTAGCACACTTTAAAAGGCAGGGCGCCTCTTAGCCTTTCAAGTTTTAGAGAGTGCTGATCAGAATGAGTTAGCTAGCTCTAATAACAAACCTTTCATCCAAATACAGATGCAGCACAGCCTAAGAGGTAATGACCCACTGATGGATTCCAAGTGTAGGGGGGAACAGCCTCCCTGTGAGAGTTGATCCAGCTCAGGAAAGACAGAAAGATCATATGCTGTGGGTGTGCAGAGAGCAGGATGTTCCCACCCTGTTAACAGCCAAGGCTACGCTTCCCTGCGGCATCACTTTCTGAATCAGGGGGCACACATAATCCTGACAACTACTGAACTGCTGAAAAATTCAGCATAATGGGTTTTGCTTGCTGGATGTACAAATTATCATCTCCAGTATGCAACATGGCTAAATCAAACAAAAATAACAGGAGGTAAATCCGAGTTAAACAAAAAGAGAAAAGCAGACAGCAAAGGGAGTTAGTGATGATTCAGACTAAAGCAGCTATTTTTCTGGGCTTCCAAAAAGTAATTTTTTTTCCAGTCCCTTGTAAGTTTTTACTTTTGCTGCACTTCTGAACCTCCATTTTTGGGCACTAAAATACCAAAAGGAAAGCTCTTCTCTTGCTGCTTGTGTCCAACAGTTTGTCATCACACTTGTTTATAGTCATAAGTTCCTACAAACCTAAAAGAATATGCGTTTCCTTACAAGATGCAGATGTGAGTTTTTTGTTCTCTAAGGCTGGGGTTGTTCCTGCGTGCTGGGAAATAACCTGGCTTTATTATTTCAGGGCAGCTCCTAAATACCAGAAAAAAATGCACTTGCTCAAAGGGGGCCAACTAGCTGCCCAGGGATGCTTCTATCACCTTTTTTACAAAGAGGAGAGGAACTTGAGTTTGGGTAGGTCTGCTTCAGGTTTTTGTTGCTGTTAGAACTGGTGGGTTGGAATAGAGGCACAGATTAGTACCATACTCTGCATTTTCTACTAGAAGAGACACAGTTCTAAAGTAAAATAAAACAGAGAGCCAAACACATGCATTTTGCTTTGTTTGATTCCTCTAGATCAGAGAATTCAAGCAGAGGAGCCTATTGGTAAGCTGTCAGAGCCCCTGTGCTCCCTATCATCACAAATGGATTCCAGACAGTTCATCCTGTGTGTATTTAGATCTCTATTTTCTTCAGAGGCCTGATGAACAGAAGTGGCAAGGAAAATAGGATTTGATGTCCAAATTCAACCAGAAAGACTAGTATTTTGAAGGCTTGGGTATCGTACTGCTTATAAGAGGGATTTGATGGAGTTGAGGGCCTCTCTACTACAACCTTTCCATCAAGAAGAAATTGGCTTGTTGATCAGGCATTGGCATGCAGCCCATTTGGCAGCTAACGAATTGAGTCGCTGGAAATTAGTTGAGACATAGGAATTAACTCAAAATTTGGCTTGGCTTAACTACTTAAAAAAAAAAAAGCCCCATAACCATCGCCAGCGATTTAGAAGAGAACGCTTTATAGGCAGCTCATAGATGCTTGTACTGAAGCTTGTTAGGGTTATTATAAACAGATGAAGCAACACGCTGTTGTCAAGGGGATCCAGCAGAAGCAATATAGGTCTCAGAAGGAAAACCTTGCAAGACTTTGAGCAAAAGACATTTCTCTTCATCCTTCTCTACTGCCTTGCTCTCAACAAGGAGGCCAGGTTGTCCTATTCAAAATGACAGAGTAGAAAAACCAATGGTGGCCACCAAAGTGTTTCAGCTGGACATAGCAGAGAGGCCTTGCTGCTGTGGCTAACCCCAATGAAAGCTATCACTTTCACAAAGGAAGCATCAAACCAGCTCCACATTAATGTAATAGAGTTGCTACATCAAGTCTCAACAGCACAGGACTTGGGTTTAAAATCGTTGTGAGAGTTGGGAGTTTGGCAGTTGTCTTAGCTTCCATTTTAAGATAAAGTGCAGCTGCATTTTACTGTGTTCTCTACTTTAGGACAGTGATAGACAGGATCAGTCACTTATCCCCTTGGGCACTGATTCTCCACTGCCATGTTAAAAGCACTCACCTTACCCACATGCTAAAGTTACCAAAGCCTGATGAATCTTTTACCTCAGAGGAGCATCAGAATCTGGCTTTGTGCTGTCTTACAGTCCATCACAACAGGAGGTAAGACACTGAGGTTTAAGCTGATGCACTCTACCTCATAGTTGCCACGAGGCGAGAAGCTGCATGCAGTCAACTTTTTAAACACCATGAAAGGGAGAAGCGCCATCAGCACTAAGCTCTGCAAGAAGTCCCAGAAATATCTTAACTTCAAGTCAATGTAACTGCAATGCAGATCTTTAAGATAATTTGGGGGGGGTGTATTTATTTATTTATTTTATTTGTTTGGTTTGGTTATGTGTGTCGTCGTCTGCCGTCCGTGCCCCAAAGCCTGTTTGATTATGCATTATTGAAGCTCTCTGAAACTATGGTTTCAGCATAGTGTGGATGCAAACACATTTGGCCTGGTTTGGGCCCAATAGAAAGACATTCAGAAAGTTTTTGACTGAGTGTTTGCTGAGATCATATCAACTATTGTTATTGCTTCTGCACAATGCTCTTCAAAGTGTTAAATGGAAAAGGTTTCTATGCTAGTTAGTTTGCTATTGTTCAGAGCTTTGTTCCCAGAAAAACAAAGATGACCTTACCTTCAAAGACACAGTACATAATAAAGTCTCTTAACATTTCACTGCACCACAGTTACACATAAAAAAGGAATAATGCCAAACCAGGTGATGTCAGATGGATTAGCTGCTTTGTACTAAACAGTTCATATTACTAAAGATAAGGGGAAGCCTGAATTCAAATTTCAGAGTAGACGCTGAGATTTTGCCCAACATGAATCAAATTACATGGGATGTTCAGGGGAGCTATGAAGTCTAGAATCTGATCTTCATAGTCATTACCTGTGTTTGCACATATCTGCCACAGGTTTTTCACAGCAGACTTTGTCTTTCATTTTCCTGAAGCTACATGCTTCAGTATTAGTGTGCCCTCCCAACTAAGCAGGTTCATACCAGGGACTGTAGGGCGCTCTGTGGATTGTCTGAAATATCAGAGAGGCTGGTGTGAGGTGAGACAATGAGGTTTCTGTTCTTGCCACTCTTTTCCGTGTCACATCTGACCAAAGGGAGGCAGTGAATTGTGATGAAAGACGAACAACATTACCTCATGGGCTGAGTCCGCAGAGCTGTCTTCAAGTCTTCAACTATTTTATTTTTCATTTCTGTTTCTTCTTCATCGAAAGCATACAGAGTCTGCATCTGTTCAGAAAAGAAGATGACAATTAGGAAAGCCTGGACTGCCTGGAAGCTAAGAGACAGGCCAGGAATTATGAAAAACAACTATCGCATCAACCCATGCGGAGGTGCCTGCCGACCTCTCACCAGGAAAGCAGCGCCTCAGCTACAAAACTGAATCCAGATGAGGCTGCTCATGTGGACTGGCAGCAGCATACCGCTTTGCCACACTGGCTAAACTAGGGTTCTCAGATTACCCCCCAAAAATCATACTTGCCAGTATGCCCTCAGAAAACTGTACCTAATTTGGAACAGTGATCTGCTGTGGTGATCTATGGATATGTGAGGCAAAGTTTGTAGGGAGAGGTAATACCTTTTATTAGACTGACACGGCTGGAGGGATTTGGGGGGGAAAAAAAGAGAAGAAGAAAACCTCAGACTTGTGTGTCAGGTTTCAAAGCGTAAAAGCTTTTTCTTCAAGTGACTAAACAGCCTGCAAGTACCCTGAATTACAGTTTGTGTACATACAAGTTTGACTTTTCTTCCCCATGCCAAGTGTATCACTTGTTTCAAGATACTGATTTTCCCTATACACTTTGCCCTTGCTAATTAGGAACATTTACTGTAAAAAGATGGAGCATCATAAAATCCCTGTCCCTGTTTTTTTAACAAGCAAACTGAAGCTCACAGAGACTAGATTTTCCCCAGGTATGCAGCTTGAGATAACTAGGGCTTGCATTCAGCTGGAACTGAAGATGCTGTGGATCACACTGTAAATTACAGTGAGAGATGATAAGTGGAATACATGCAAAAAATAAGCTCTCAAAGTCAGACAATGACATTAAAAAAAGTGGTATATCAGGAAATTAGGGCTCCAGCACTCAGGACCACTGCAACCTTGTGACGTGAAGCAAGACTCTGCAGTGCCTATCGCATATACCATTCAGGCTCACAACTTCAATGCACGCCTTTTTAAAAAGTCAAGACGCAATGCTGGAAATTCTTAGCCTATAGCTACGTCATCTTAGTCACTTTAATTGTAAAATAGAGAGGATAAATGCGTCTTATTGGCAGGACTTCTGGGGGATATCACTCAGTGGTATCTAGAAAGCAGCTCTGAACCCCTTCTCAAATGAATAACCCAATTAAACTAGTATCATCTATCAGGGATCTGATATTATACCTCTCTGTGGTGGAATCTGAGTAGCAACAATTGTGGCTCATTACAGCAAAATATTTAAGTCTTAATTTCACTATTTAGCAAGCACCAAAGAAAACCTTCCTCTCACTGGAACTTCCTTTAACCCTCCCCCCTACCACCCAACACCTCACTTCCCTTGGAAGTGCTCCTGTGTCGCTTGCTTTTGCAAACCATATGGTGCCAACACATTTCGGATCCTGAGGGTGGTCATTTGGCTACATGCCGTTGCTGTCTTATGCTGAACAGCTGGCATTGGGAGATGTGTTTAACTCTAGGGGTCCTCTCTCTGATCCACGCTAAAGTCAAATTCACTCAGTAACAGAGCAAGCTATTTCCTGCCCTAATGGAATGACAGAGCGCTACTGATGGAAAATGAGCTGATGATGTTTTATCTTTTGCCAGCATCCCCCGACAGCCAGAAACATAAATTGAAATGCTTAAGCCAAGCCATATACGATCCCCCTCTTTGAAAAATAAACAGAAACCCTGAACAGGCATTATGGAATCTCAATGGCAGAGTCCTGGGGTGTGATTTGGGGCTTGATTTGTATTTTCTTGGGTGACAGCCCATCTGGTCATCTTTCCTTTGGCCCATAAATGCTCTTTTGAAAGGCTCCCATTCCTCCAACGGCTTAATTTCTCCTCTGAGCCATTGTGGGGGGAAAGCAAATGGATGGTAAGAAGGTGCTCAACAGTATTTCGTTCAGAGTGAAAAAGGCCCATTTCCAAATGAAACAAATACAAATAATCCTGCCTTTACAACGGAGGGTGATTATAGAAAACCCCTTTTCTAAAGCTGCAGGCAGCCAAGAGCCCTTCATTTCTCACTCCTGTGCATGGCCAGGAACTCAAATCCTCATGCCCTCTCTAAAGACAGACTGGTCACGTGTTTGCATTATGAAATAGTTTTCTCAGCAAGAGTTACAGAAAGCATAACTGTCCCTGGGAGACAGAGGGGAGGGAACTCTCATTATTTGAGGCTGGATTTCATTAATGTGGCTGACTGATGAATTGCTTTCCTGAACTACAAACTGCACTCGAGGACTAACGTCTGCCGTGCTGAGGATGCAGCTAGTTACTATCAGTTGACCAAACATACTAGGAAGAGGAAGCAAAATAGTGCCAGGTCCTTATCTGGTCCCTAAAAAGTGGTATACATAAGGCTCTTTTTTACAAGCACTTTTTGCATATTTGAAGTTTTCCAGATTAAGCGCATCACCAGGAAAGTATAGCATCTAGTTACGTGATTTGCCAATTTGAAAAAATTCACAAATTTGTGAAAACAATCATTCACATGGAATTTTATGTGTAAAACTTCAGGTAGTCCAAGAAATTACTTTTGAAAATTTGCCTCCACTTAAAATGAAATATTTTAGTTTTACTAAGAGCACAGATTAATTCCCATACCTTATCCTAATGGCTAATCATTACCCTAAACTGCTGGGAAGGAAAATACAGGACCATAATGACAGTACATGTGAGAAAGAGAGAGAGAAAAAAAAAGAAAAAAAGGGCATGGACTAACATCAGCAATACACTGTATCATAGACCTAGTTTTACTGAACAGTCTCACACAAATGAAATGAAAAAAGAAAGAAGCAAATAGAATAAATAGTGAAAAATCAGCCTGGATGTTCTGATTTCCCATTATAGTCCAAGCTCTTTCTTTAGATCTTGTCTAAAATCATAACTAACGAAGTGTTATCATTATTGAAATAACTTCCAGTTCATAAACAAATATAAGTAACATTAAAATAAAAATGTCATAAAAAAAATATTGTATTGCATGCCTCTGACAACATATCTGGACAATACTACTTTAAAACATTTCTTCAAAGAAAACAAGTCAGTACAAATTCAAGGTGCACCACATTTCTAACTACATTAAGGCTGAACTAAGAGAATAAACTATGAATCATAAACTATGAATAGATGTAATTTAAAAAACCTGAACTTTTAAGCAAATAATTTTAAAGTAACATAGGTATCACCTAACCCAGATGGAGGAGAGAGTTATCATCCACCTGCTAAATTCTGCTGAAAGATATATATTTTTAACACCCTGTGAAGATGCTCTGCCCTGAACAAATGCTTTCCGAGTCAAGGAAAAGGGCCTGGTTACAGCTGTATGTATTAATCTTGACCCCTGTCTCATACTCTCAACTGAGCCATCTCTCCAGAAAAGCTGGATCTGCAACTACTGTTCACCTGAAAGTCTCTCTGTGGAAATGCATACACAGCCAAGCTCATAAAAGCAACACAGTGCTCTCAGAAGTTTTCTTCCTCAGTAAAGTGAGGGCTGTGTTTATGTGTGCTGCCAAGCAGACAGTATCATGGGGTGCGGAGGGCAGGAGGAGCACAGGGAGGTTTCTTTATATGCGATATTAACATGGCAGCTGCTGCATTTTTAAGAAAAGAAGTTTTGTGTGTTGATGAATCAGCAGAAGATGACGATGACCTTGATTATGGAAATGGTCTCTAATTGTGGGTGTGCAACTTGTCGACAATCACCAGTATTATTTATAGCATGTACACATCAGAGGACTGGGCAAATTTGGAGGCTCCTCTTTCTAAATTAGACATCATTAGCAGCCATCCCTTTCTCTTAAGGATTGGTCTAGAAGAGTCTCTACCTATGATCTACTTGGCCCCTTCCTTTCAGTCAGGCTACCTGAAGAATGGGACAGTCCCTCCCCACAGGAATTGCACACTACAGACTAGTAAAGAGATCCAGTTTTACTGTCATATGCTCTTGTGAGAATTTGGTTTAAAAACTATTAAAATCTAAAAAGTCACAGCAACAGAAACAATTGTGGGAACAGAACTGTGCCTAAATTGTGTGGCTTTTTGAACTGGATCAGGAATCTGTGACCTGAAGTGCTTCCTAACACAGTGGTCTAAGGTTACAAGTAGGGAATGTCAAACATGTCAGGAATCACTACATTGCTCTCAAGCATAATCTATGAGGGGCAGATATGATGGGTAACACTGCAGTGAGTCTTAAGAGAAAATGATCCTTGAGCACAGGGGCCTTGGCCTGCTGAAATCCACAGAAAGATACTTGATGATATCAGCAGGATAAAGGTGCCATTTTCATTTTATCCGCAGGTAGGGAGAACTTTTTTGCCAAGCTAATATATAAAAAAGAACTTCATAATTACACAAAACAATATAGAAAAAGATGTGAAAGCTGCACATAAAAAGATTCTTATGCAGTTAATTCACTGGAGATGCAAAGATTAAATTTTATTTAAAAAAACAGGACCTAAGGCATTTTAAACTAACACTTCTGTGATTATTGCTACCATTTCAACTCTAATACTTCTTGCAGTATTTCTAATTAAAATACTGCAATACCTGATAGCGCCCAAGAGACACAAACTGAAATAGACTAGACAGTGTCAGGAAGCAACATGAAACATGTTTTTCTTTCACCATTTCTAGGCCAGCTCCACTTGGATGCAGTTTGAAAAAAAAATTTTAAAAACCCACCACTAAATTTAGGACTGAAATTATAAGGGACCCAAAATAACCATTTGGAAGTTAAGAATCTCAGAGGTCTAAATGATAATGAATACAGCATGTCTTTTAAAGTGTGTTGGAGCTGGTTCTCAGCTATATTACTCCAGTTTTCCGCTGATATAATTCGTGTGAAATCAAGTCAACTAAGTTTCACCTGCCTAAAAGTGAAGCAACTAAGTGGTAAATCAGAAGCAGGGGTTTTAACCCCAGTGTATCTTCTTAACACTTCAAGCATAGGAGTAAATCATGAGGCTTGAAGCCAAATAAAAGGTTATCAATCATTCAGTGCTGAGGCGTGCAAACAACATTACTGGGACTGGTGTTTATTGGTGCTCTTAAAACCTGTTTAA